CGTCGGAACCTCGTTAGCAAGTTGGTCGAGATCGGCGATGAGGGCCTCGGCCTCCCGCGATGGCCTCGGCGTGACTCGATGCACTCGACGTCGCAATCAGATGCATGTTCGTGACGTGGACTCGACGGTGATGATGCCGTTGGGGCTGGCATCTTGAGCTTGAGGTAGGTGTAATTGGGGATCGCCATGAACTTGGCGTAGCACGCACGCGCCCCCAAGATGGCGTGGTAAGCCCCTTGAAGTCAACCACCTCGAAGGTGAGGACCTCTTTGCGGTAGTTGGAGGGAGTGCCGAAGCAGATGGGCAAGTCGATGCGCCCGAGGGGTCGCGTGCGCTTTCCTGGCACGATGCCGTGGAAGGGCGCGGAACCGCCTCGGAGCCGTGATTGGTCGAGCTCCGTGAGCTCTCCAGTGTTGACGTAGAGGATGTTGAGGCCACGCCTCCGTCCATGAGTACTTTGGTAAGTCGGTGTTGCCGACGATCGGGTCGACGACAAGCGGGTCCTGCCCGGGTTTGGAACATAATCGGGGTGATCATCCCGATCAAAGGTGATTGCCTCCCGAGACCAATCGAGGTACCGGGGGGTGGCCACCTTGACCGAGAAAACCTCCCGGCGTTCCTTCTTTGCTGGCGCGCCGTGAGGCATGCCGAGGGTCCGCCAAAGATCATGAAAGCGTTATGCACCTCGGGGAACCTGTCGTCCTTGTCCTCGTTCCGACCGGCGGGCCCCTTCGCTTGGCGTCGTCGTGCCGGGAGGCCCGAGCCCGGGCGTAGTAGCGACGGAGCATGGTGCACTCCTCGAGGGCGTGCTTCACCGGACCTTGATGGTAAGGGCAGGGCTTCTTCAGCATGTCGTCAAATAGCCTGGGGCCGCGGGGGCCTCGGGGATTCCTGCGATCCGTCGCGGGCGACATGGACGGCCTCGAGAACTTCCCCCTCCCCTGGGCGACCTTCCTTCTTTTTCTTAGGGAGGTGGGGGGTCGAGGCCTCGGGGCCTCTTCCTCCGCTTCCCCCTTGGCATCGGTGTTGGGGAAGATGGCTCAACAAGCCTTCTTCCCCGAGGCGGCCGGTGGCGATGTCGAGGAGCGCCGGCAGAGAGCGCGGACGTTAAGTCCCAACTCTCGGACCAAGTCCCGGCAAGTGGTGCCGGAGAGGAAAGCCCGGACGATCTCCGAGTCGCCGACTGGGTAGCTCGGTGCCTTTGCTTGGAGAAGCGCCGGATGAAGTCTCGGAGGGACTCGTCAACCAAGCGGCGCTTTTAAGATCCCAGAATTCCAGGCGCACGTATGTGCCTGGAAGTTCCCGGACGAAGATCCTAACCAAGTCGCGCCCGGTCGTGGATTTGCGAGGGAGGAGATGCTCCAGCCGGGCTCATGCCGAGTCCGACAAGAGCAAAGGAGATTGCGGATGATGAGCGGGTCATTGTCCGCGCCACCTAGTCGGCAGCCAGCGTGATCGGCGAGCCGAGTTCCGGTTGGTCTCGCCAACAGATTATGAGGTTGGCCATTTTACCGTCGGAACCGGGCGGGAAAGGAGCAACGGATGGCCTCGCTTGAAGACCCGAGGTCCCGGCGACTCGGGGAAGGATCATGGGTCCTCACCGCCGTGTGAGCGACCTCGGTGTGGGTGGTAGCCTCGGCGGCTCCGTCGTGCCGTGGGCGCCGCCGCTTTGTCGGCTACTTCGTGGTCGCCTGCATGCCTCGTGTTGGTCCTCGAGTCGGTTCTTGGCGCGAGAGGGCCCCATTGACCGTCGGCGCGCGAAAGCGGCTCGGACGGGTCGAGGCACCCCAGCCTTGTCGAGGTCGTGCCGTGGGTTGCTTCGGGCGTGCCTCCGCGCCGGCGGAGGCGGAACTTTCGCCTCTTTGCACTTCTTGCGGTCTCGAGGAGGTCGGAGCTCTCCGCGACCGTCGCCCTCGGTGGTGGAGGGTTCGGGCATTGCTCGGACTAGCATTGCGGCCAGCCGCGACATTACAGCTAGCGCGGTTAAAGATTGGGGCGGCTCATCCCCTCGTTGTCGTTGATGCGGTGGTGGGCGCCGCGGGCCCTCCCTCGGGCCCCTCCGCCCTCACCGCGCCCTTGCCGCTCCCGCCGAGAGTGTCCCAAGCCATTGCGGAAGGAGTCGATCTTGTTCGACCTTGGCTTGAAGCTCGTGGAGCTGCTCCCAGGTCCGGCGTCGATGCCCCCGCATGCGGATTCTCGTTCCGTCTTCTGCCGGGCCTCGAGACGCGGTGGTGTGCGTCGCCGCCCCCACCGGGCGGGAATGGTTGCTCGTCCTCTCGCTTCCTTCGCCCGCCCTTGGCATCCCGAGCCCGACGTGGAAGCACTCATGAGATGGATCGTAAGTCCCTCCATCGTCGGAGTCGGAGTAGCCGAGGCAGTAGTCGCTTGCGGCCAAGAATTGGCGCAAATCCCCAGGGTTGTGAAGTTCGAAGAAATCCACCCTGGGCCATGCCTCGTCCTCGTCCGAGGAGTCGGAGCGGGTGCTCAAGTCGAGAGCGAAGCGCTGGCGGCGTTCCGAGGGGTGCTTGTGAGTGGCAGCGTAAGCGTAGGCGTAAGAGGCGGCGGCATTTCTCAACCCAAAGGGGTATGGGGACGGTGCCTTCTCCATGTTCTGCCCCGCTGGGGTCGGCTCTTCAGGGAGTGGCGGAGCGGGGTTAGACGACCAGGCGCCGCCAGTAGCCACCGGCGACTTTCCTTCGCTCGAGCTCAGCGAGACAGTCCCCAGCCAGGGACCCGTGCACTGCAACACCGTCGTAGGACATCGGCGGGGAGAGGCGTGTCGCCCTGGGCTCGCGTAGCGTCGGGGTGGCCTTGCTCGCGTCGTGCCTGGCGAGCGTGGCGAGAGCGGCCGCCCGGACGCCGCCTGCGCCTGGGCGGCCGGGGCGCGACTCTGTCGTTGGACGGTGGGGTTCGAGGAGTGAGGAGCACCATATCGTACTCATGCCCTAGAGACATGAACTCTAGGCTCCCCAACCAAACTATGGTGCCGAGACGCAATGGTCGTATGTAGTCTGCCATCCGGAACTTGCTAGGATGACGGTTTACGACACGCAGCGTCCCCCTACCGGCGCGCGCTAACCGCCGGTTTTGGAACCGGGGTCCCTCAACCGACGAGTGAATTTGTCTTCGCGCCCCTAATCCCGGATGGTGGCGCAAAGAGACACAAGGTTTATACTTGGTTCAGAGCAATCGAGGCCCTACGTCCAAATCCGAGAGATCGATCTTGTATTCCTTGCACCGGAGTGCTCGTAGTAGGGGGTTACAAGCTAGGTGAGAGAGGGACTAGCCCCGTGTCTCGGCGAGTGTGGTGCGGGCTGCTTGAGGCGTTGTTCCCAAGCAAAGATATGAGTGCGCTGGTGCTATCGGGCTGTTTCGCCTTTTCTCTCGAAATGGCCCCATCCCTCCCTTTTATACTCTAAGGGAGGACCGAGACCGCGCAGGATGCTACATAGCGCTTCAGAATGGGGTGGCGGTCCGAGCCCTCGTAGTCGCCACTTTGTTGTGGTATGGTCGATGGGGTGGCCCCGCCCCTTGTCGTGGCGGAAGTGACATGCTTTGGTCGACTTCGGTCTTGCGCGTCGTGGGGCTCCAGTCTGACGGCTTGATGCACGTGACATGGCGGGCGACGTCTTGTCGCCGTGTAATGACGTCGTAGGGAGCAAGCTGGCTCTGCAGATGCCGAGGCCGAGCCATCGTGGGGGCTCGGTGGTCATGGACCCTCAGTCGCCGAGCCCGTGAAGCAAACTGTCGAGGCCTTGGGGGAGTTATTGGCCCCGGTGCGATTCCGAGGCCACGATGAGCTCAGACGTGGCTCCCCATGCTTGCGTTGTCCTTGGAGCGAGTTGGCGGACAATGAGGCATGGGTGTCAACTATGTGTACGGTGGATAGCATAGTGACGGGTAACCCCCCATCACGAGGACGTCAGTCATCGCGTGATGACGTCGTGGGGGTCAGGCCTGTAGGTGCCGAGTGCCAAGCCATCATCGGGGGGCTTTGGCGGACATGGGTCCTCGGCCGCCGAGCCCTGGAGCGAGCCGCCGAGGCCTTGAGGGAATTATTGCTCCCCGGTACCGATTCCGAGGCCACAGAGAGCTCAGACGTGGCTCCCCATGCCGCGTTGTCCTTGGAGCAGAGTTGGCAAGACAAAGTGAGGCATGGGCGCCAACCACGCGCACACGGGGTTAGTACAACGGGTGGTAACCCCCGCGGCAGTCCCTGCCTCTCGTCCCCATCGCCATTCTCACAGATCGCATGCTTGGCCATGCGGTCATGCAGTCGTGGGCGCAGGTTGGTCGAGTTGACGCGACACTGACGCTTTGCCGTAAGGACGGGAGAAGGAAGAGGTAGCGGCGTCGCCGAGCTCGCCTTTTGCGCGAGACGGAGGGTTTGGTGGCCTCGGCCGAGGCCTTTGGCGGGGATCGACCGAGGCCTGTGGAGAGGGGGGGCCTCGGCGAATCGAGAATCGGCCGAGGCCCGCCAACGTTCATAGTGGGTTCGATCTTTACGAAATCTAAGCCGTCATTTTTTGGATTTTGCTTGGGGTACCCCTTCTCACGGTATCCGACAAATACAATAATAATGCAAAGGAGTTTGAAACTAGGGCGTTAAGATGTTATAAATCCAACAAGTTACATCAACTAATTGGATGTCAATCTAACCAGGTTCTCTTGTAACATGAGAGTCTACTGACACAGATATTACTGGGGAAGATCAGCACTACACCAGGAGGTATCATGCTAAGCATAATCAGTTTTTTGTTTTCCACTAAAGCAGCCAGCTACTTCTACACAGCTAGGGGAGGCCTATTAGAGGATTTCTTCATCCTTGGTGTGACTCAGTAGTCGGTACACAGGGCCTCCCATTTGTTACCTTGACCACATAACATGGGCTGCTGGATTTGGTAACGACGATGGGGTCATACAATGTTGCCACTGGCCAAGGTTCTCACCATTGAATCCGCCGGAAACTGCTTCGGGTGTTTCCTCGACATCCATAGAAGTTACTTCAGTCTCATCAGCCTCCATAGGTACTTCAAAAATCTGTGTGCTCTCTGGCTCAGCAGCAACCCAGTCAGATCTAATAGACACTTGTGGTGGTATCCAAGAACTAAAGCCAAGCTGTTCCTACGCTCAGGAGATTCACCCTCCATCTCATGATAGTTCGCTTGATTGAAAGCATGGTCTGAAAAGTGAAAACAGCAAAGAAACTCGTGAGTTGTTATAATTCAGAACATGTATAATTGGAAAAATATGCTGCATGTGACGGTGGCGCAAAGTAGAAGCCAATGAAAAGCTCTACAAGAAGACAGCAGAACCAAAGAAAATAAAAGGAGGAAGATAATCGCTGGCAAGTAAATCACGCTAAAAATCATGACATGGGTCATATTCTGCACATCAAAGAATGCAGCACAACTACAGCACTAGACAAAGGACACACCAAGTGTTCACCCACGCAAATCACAATGTAAGCAGGTGATGTCATGGCTAAAACATATCATCTCATGCCCCTAGGCCAACAGGCATTTATGCTTCCTGTTATATTCACCAACTAGCTGCACGACACAACTAAATAGTAGACTCTTTGCAGTTCTGCATACAACTTGCTTAAAGTATCAGGAGATAGGTTTGGACATGTCATTGATATAGAAGTCAACAAAAAATCTAAATAGGTTAGTTTATATTTGCACAAGGAACACCCAAATACTTAGGTAATGACAATACATGTACTCATACAAGTTCTGGATATACATTTGACACTTAGAAAATCTAACGAAATGCAGGATCAAAATAGCAAAGGTTCATAGGAATAGTGAATTTAAATATAAATGACGACTAAAGAAGGTTGGTCACGATGTACTTACTCTTTAGACCACGTATCAAGTCTGAACTCACTATGAATGAAGAGCTTGAGATGCCAGGACCAAATGGTGGGTTATTTACTGGTTTGTATAAAACAAGTGCCATGTCCTCACTAGGCACATGATGTGTTAGACCTTCCATCATGACTTCCACACTGGGTATGTCAACACCGCTATCGATTTTCTCTCCCAGCATCTGGAACGACATGGAAGGAGCAGGTGGTTCTTCTTCCATAATTGGTGGGAGCCCAGGGTCCTATAAATAATAAGCAACACTTTATTCAGAGAGGCATTACAGATGCAATAAGTATTCTGAATAAAGACTTCCAACGAATGGAAAACACCAAAATGACAGAATGCTTAACTATATGCACAACAAGACATGCAGTGAACATGCATGATAAACCTTGCTTATCTATACACAGTGGAAAATTGCAACATGTATGGTGTTTCCTTCTTCACTTGAAGTGATCAAACAGAAAGCAGGGAGCTACTTTGCTAGATAACATCAGAACAAGACTGTCACAACAAATGCATAGAAACGTAACCTCGCTACATTTCTACACCAAAGAAAAACTCCAACAAAAGCAACAACAACATAATCTGGCAATATCTGCATGTAAACAGAACAGGCATCCTAGGCTGACCTAGGAAAGGACTACTGATTTCCTGATTGCATAGGCTCTTTGCAGAAAGGCATTTTCATTAACTTATTCAGTAGGAAGTTACTGACAGAGCAGATACTGCTGAGTAAACTCATTCTAGTTAATAAGAAATAAGAAAACGGTATAGAAACTGGAAACAGATCTGACAAAACATCAATTGAATCTATTCTGCCGAATTGCATGAAGACGCTTTAATCAAATAGCCACTTATACAGGCAGGTCACGGACATGACAGCAAGTATAGATAACCATCAAGTGCAAGATATAGTTGAAGCAACATATTCCATTTTTTTCCTTAAAAGGAAGGAATTTTACAGTATTTGCTAACATGTAACCGCTCCCAAATCCCTATAATCAACCACCCTAGTTAGGCGTCCACCAATCATCACTAATTAAAGAGATGAACTCGCAGGCACAGTAGCAGCAAAAGATTAGGGCAAAAGATTGCGCCAGCAAACCAGATAAGAGCCCTCATCAATTAATAGAAGCCTAAAAGGCACAAACAGCTCACCAACTCACCAATCTGCGGCTCTTGGCAGCGGGGCCGGAGAGGGAGAAGTCGGAGAGGCCGTCCACCACCTGCTCCAGCTCCTTCCTCTTCCCCGCGAACCCCACCATCGTCTCGCCCGAAACGAGAAGGCCACGCGCCGCGAGATCCGGCCACGAACTCCGCAGATTCGGAGATTCCTACTCCTACAGAACCCCGCTCCGGGCTGCTGCTCCGGAGTGATGCTGCTTCCGCTGTCCCCGCCGCGGCTCTCGAGGGCGGCCGGTTGGGGGTCTGCTTCGCGCGCCGCGGGAGGGATCCTCCTTGGGCGGGGAGGGTTTTCGCGCTTCCGAGTTCGCACGCTCCGCCTGTGGTTCGGGGGGCTCTGGTTCTGCTTCTGCTTGTTTGGAAAGCTGCTTGCTCGGTTGGTTGGTTTGCGCGGCTGGAGGGATGGTTCCAGAATAACGCGGTGGCCTTGAGCCCCTGGTCGCTTGCAGGTGGGTCGGATTTGCCTCCCTGTTTTGAGGGATGGCTCGATGAGTACTGACGTTTCACCGTACACAAAGGGCGTGTTTGCGACCCTGTACCTGGCCGGCATGGCCATTCCAACTGGCCCAGGTCTGGACAGGCCTACTTCAAGTGGTGCAACAGCTCTTATTTACGTCTGTGTACCTAGTGAGCCTGGCTCAGACGAGGCTGTGTTTGTCATCGAAGAGGTAGCCGGGCTGAGAGGCTAACCGCCACCAACTACCACACCGAGATAGTGTTTGTCATTTGGCTGTGGTCGGCCAGGCCCATAACAACAAATAGAAATAAACATGAATGAAAGGAGAATGAGGTTGCTCTTCCATAACCGTTACAACAACAAATCAAAGTTTCAGCATGAAATAGTTGGCCTCAGACATGCTAATTTAACAATTCATGGCATTACTGGCTACATGGGATAATCAAAGTCAGTAAAGAAGAACAGAAGCATAGGTCAGTCAAGTTTTGAAGCCAACAAATGAAAAAGTTCACAGAAACAGATAAAAGGCAGCAAAATGATACGTAGCCAGCTAATGCATCGATCTATTGTGTCATCATTAGCCAAAATATAACATTTAACAGTTTGGCAAGCTGAGAAGGGCAACAAATTACAGAAAGCACGTAGCCAGCTAATGCAGTCATCCTATTGTGTCATCATCGGCCTAATTAAAACAACAGTTGTGGCACATGAACAGCTTGAGTGACAGACCAACTACAACCATAAACAAGATCAAGATGACAACATTTTTGCAACAACCTTGCAGCCCAGGTGAATGATGATAGATTTCAGAACCTTGACCTGTCACCAGTTCAAGGGATGCTGATGCATCCCCATGAGGGGCATGAATTGGTAACAGCAAGGGTTCTTAAGGTACCCTTGCATTAAAATCTCTAAGAGCATCATCATAGTTGTTGTACTTCTGATAGATAGCCCCTTCTTCCTTAAGCACTTGCTTAGCACACTCATACCATGTAAAATAAATCTCAGGTTTCTTCCCTTCAAAGACCACATAGCAGGGAGGCATTCTTTGAAACCAACCAAATGTAGAACATGTAAGTGGTCTGAATGACATGCCTCAGTCGACCATTCAGTTTGAATGATGGTGAACATCATCGGCAACTTGATAAAAAAATTAGCCTCAGCTATTATTTTCCTTGTTTAGTCATTGGTGGCTACCAAGAATTGTAAGAACCAAATAAAGAGGCAAATAAAAAAACAGTTGCACTCACTGCCATCAGCCATCACAAGAGGATGTTGTTGCTGTGGAGTACAACTGAGCATAAGTGTAGAATGGAAGGATAGGCAAATAAAGAAGAAAGCACGACAATAAAACCATCAAAACAAGAATAAGGTAGCCACCTCAAGTTTGTTTTATGCATCATAGGCCTTTAAATCCCACAGTTACCACCAGAGGCATAAACAACAAAATAGGCAACTAGTTATCAAATAAAAAGTAACCAACAGAGGCTACAAATAAGTTTCTTACAATACCAAGTTGAGCCCAACAGCCAAAGACTCAAATGTTCCCAAATCCTTGCCTATTGTTAGCCACCCTCCTAGGCAAACTACACCATCAAGGTCAGGTGTCAAAAGAACAAGCAGACTGTACAAAATGTCCTGTTGTCAAAAGAAGAGAGAGTGGGTAAGGGGGGTGGAGGAACTATACATCTCTACAGTCAACCTCCTCCTGGCCTTCTAGCCCTTCATGTGTAGTGGAACTACACATAGTAGTTTTTGGCCAGGAAGGTCCTAAGCCAAAGGGCCCTGTGGGCATCACTCATGTTCACAAAGCCCCTGCCTTGGGCCTTGTTGTCCGTGAGAGAAAGGTGTAGGCAACAATAAGTGCTTCCTCACCTGCTAGGCATCTCCATCACAAAGAAGGTACAGTAATGGCATCAACATGGGCAGTCCAGGTCTCCCTAAGAGCATTGGCCACATTGTTCACAAACATCTCACATGTTAGTCAACATGAGCATCTCCTCCTTAGAGAAGTTCCTCTCTTCCTCTTTAGCCAAGAAATGAGGAGGTAGGAAGCGCCTCAATGGCCTTGCTATCCCTCCCCCTGCTCACCGGGACTGTGGTGGTGGGGTCAAAGGAGGACCATCACCCTTGACACCAACAACATCACCACTGTTCTCGCCCTAAGGCTTCACCTGCACCTAAGTGCAAACTTGCCTGTGGCCATGGCATTAGCAAAGATAGCATTCATCTCAGTGTAGAACCTAATAGGGCAGTTAAGAAACTCTGCATCTTTAGGATGGTCCTGTAGAGTTGGGCAAATGTAGTTTAAGAAAGGCAAATATAGGTAGTCAAGGCAAAGACGAGATCAAACTGCTACCTTGCGGTGGCCAAGGTAGTGCTCTTGCTCAAGCATGATAGCATGAGCCTGGTCATCCCAAAGAGCAAAGACTAAGGTCCTTCAACTTGCTCACCCTAGCCCATTTCTACCTCCACTTCCTCAAGTGGTTGTATACTTGAGTTGGGCTAACAACCTCCACACAGAACTGCTTGAGGGCTTTGGCCACAGAATTCACATCTTTGTCCTTGAAAACCTTCTCAGGCCTGCTACCATCACTAACAAGGGCAGCCATTCTCCTTAGCATAAAGCCAGAGGTGGTGTTGGTCCACCTCATTGCCAAGACAAATTTATTCCATTCCCAGCTACAGTGCAGCAACATCAATGGGTTTGCTACACCCGGCGGCAAAGACCAAAGACTACTACAATAATAGGGGCAAAGAAGACTAGCACCAAAGACCGGCCACAACAGGCGTAACCACCATTGATGAGCTGCTCCATCACTGAAGTACCAAAGAACAAACCCACCCTCAAATGCACCTGAATCCATCCTAGGACCGGCATATAATGAAATCAACAATGTAATTAGTCAAGAACAGTACACAAAATAATATTAATGTGTATGAACTAACCACGCATCGACAGATCATGAAGAATGGAATGTTTCAAGAACAGAATGAATGAAGCATAAAATTAGTCTCAGCTTTGTCCAACAAATTATTACATCACCATGACACACACATGAATTCCATAGCAGGGTACAGAAACTAAATTCAAGAACATATTACATCAACTAGTGTTTGTTCCTCCTTCCCACATAGCATTGCAAATGGCATCCCTTATTTTAGCCATGTCAACAGAGTCTTGGTCCAGATGGGTAAATTTGAGGGCGGGTTGGTTGGATCAGCAGGCGTAGTGAAACCTTCCTCATCGTGCACTACTTCATCAATGCCAAAACCTAGGATCTAGTTATGCAAAATGGCATGAGCAACTACAAGCTTCACTTGTGTCCTATACTTGTGAAAGGGTTTGTTGTCCAAGATCCTAAACCTGCCTTTCAAAGGCACCTATAGCCCTCTCCATAGTCACTCTAAGTGATGAGTGCCTAAGGTTGTAGAGCTCCCTTGCATTGGTGGGCCTGTTCCTTGGGCCATACTCAGACAAATGGTACCTAACCCCCCTGTAGGGAGGTAGGAAAACCATTTTTGCATGCATACCCAACATCTACCAAGAACATTTTATCTACACAAGACATCTACTGTGAGAGTGTGTGTTAATAGGCCATGGAATATGTAATTAGTGTTGATGTGCAATTACCTTCCGCAAACTCAAGCCATCTTCCCCAGCTACAACATCTCGCCAAAAGTTTGCATCATGGGCAGAGCCCTCCCAGCCAGCCAGGACATAAGTGAATTTTAGATCACAATTCACAGCTACCATCACATTTTGGGTGGGATCCTTTTTCCTACCCCTAAAAGCTTGTTGCATGCGCCTAGGAACCCTTGCTAGGAAATGAGTGCCATCTATAAAGCCAATGACATCCTAAAAAGCATGGGTCAATCATTGCAATAGGTAAAATATAACTAATGAACCCAGGGTATACAATTACCTTAAAATATGGATTCCATGTATGACTTCCAAGAATCTTTGGGTGAGTGGTAGTGCTAGCTGGCTTTATCATTTTATTCCTAAGCTCACCCATAGCATACAACACCTGATGGAAGTGCTTGTGGACAGTTTGGATGGACCTCCTAAAGGACTGGTGGACAACCCTAAATCTTTGGTTGTGCCCTACAACATATAAAAACATGGCAACCTGCTCTTCTACTGACACCCCCTCCCTATCAGTGACAAGACTCCTCTCTCTAAAAGTTCTCACTAACTTAAAAAAAGCAACTCTCTTCATCCTAATCATAGAAATATACTCTGAATCAGTGGAATTATATATCATTCTCAGTGTTATCTGTCTGTACTGTTCATTTTCATCCCTAAGCAGGGTCAGTGCTATAGGATCAGGCAGTGGGGTTTCAAGTTCAGGGGTTTTTCTTTTCAGCCTAGTGGATACAAAGGTAACCATAACAACAGTCAAGGCAGCTGCCTTCCTACATAGCATGTCACGGCTCAAAGACAGATCCATCTACAAGCATGTAAAAATGTAACATGATTTCAGCTTAATGTACCCTACTAGGCATCAACATGAATGTGAAATGAATGCATGCCAACAAAAGCACGGCTGCATCTTGTATGTGATGCCTCCCAATACTATGTGGACAACATCATCGACCAATGATGGAACAAAAAACTCAGAG